GGGTCGTCAGAAAGTCACGATGTGCTTTTCTGTTTTTCTATGCAAAAATGCGTAATAATTTTTCTGATGACCCAGTACGTCACAGGTCAAGCATCCCTCATCCTAAAATCTGAAACCTACAATGGTCCAAAATCCAAAACTTTCTGAGCACCAACAGGACACCACAAGTGGAAAATTCTTCACCTGATCTTATGTGACAAGTCACAGTCAATGTGCCAGAATATAAAAATATCGTATAACATTAACTTCAGGCTGTATGTATAAGGTATATATGAAACATCAATGAATTTTGTGTTTATGCTTTGGTTCTATCACCAAGCTAAGTAATGTTGTATATGCAAATATCTAAAAATATGAAAAACTTAAAATTTGAAACAATTCCAATCCTAAGCATTTTGAATATTGGATACTGGGGACCAGCAGTTGGCGTGATGGCTGTGTCGCTGGACTCCCATGTGGTTCGAGTCCTGGACCTGGTGGTTTAAACTCAAGATGGGGTGCATGTGCATGCGTGCCCAAGATCCCATGAGGAGAATGGAAGAGAAGGGATTGTGGTGTGGCCATCCCCTCCTCAGGGGCGATTTCTTGCTTTCTGTCTCTCTGTCTCTCTCTTTCTGGCAAGCGCATGCACTTATAGCAGAAACTTCTCCCAAAAAAAAAAAGAAAAAGAAAAAGAACATTGGATACTGAACCCGTATATTTTTTGTATTTTATATTTGAAATTGGCTGCTAAGGATACATAAAATACATAGTGATAGAAGAGATTTTCAAAGGACTTTTAATCTTCTACATTTTATTAAAAGATCTCATTTTGTTTCTTATTGCTTTGCAGGTAGATGTAAGTATAAAATTATGGAAAAATGGATTCACGGTCAATGATGATTTCAGAAGTTACTCTGATGGTGCAAGTCAGCAGTTTCTGAACTCCATAAAAAAGGGGTAAGCACTTTTTGTAACAAGAAGGATCTTATAGGCATGTTTCATATGGAAGAATTGTTTTTAATGTTGTTCATTCATTCCTACATTAACAGACATACTTTTTAAAATGAAATTCACATTTTTTTTTTTTTGGAGAGGTTTTTGCTATAGAGCGCGTGCGCTTGCCAGATAGACAGAGAGAGACAGAGAGACAGAAAGTGAGAAATCAGCCCCCAGGGGGGATGGCCATGCCGCAATCCCTTCTCCTCCGTTCTCCTCTCAGGATCTTGGGCACGCACGCACACGTGCCCAGTGTGAGTTTAAGCCACCGGGTCCTGGACGCGAACCGCGGTCGACTACGTGGGAGTCCAGTGACCTAGACATTATGGCAACTGCTGGTCCCAGAAATTCACATTTTCATAAATGGACTTTTGGTGGTTTGGAATTTTTAATTTTTGCTAAAGGGTGTGTATGCTTGCCAGAGATTAAAAGTGAGATAACATCCCCCAGGGGGATGGCCACACCATAATCCATTCCCTCCCTTCCCTTGGGATTTTGGTGTTGTATGCACTTGCGCTTGGTGTGTTTCTCAAGCCTCCGGGTCCAGGATCCGAACTACACAGTTTACTGCTTTAACTACCACATCACCAGCTGGTCCTAAATGGGCTTTCTTTACACAACCACAACTGCAATGTTGAAGAAAGTTAGGAACTTCCAGTTTCAGACTGCCCGGGTCATAGCTACTTGCATGCTGCTGGCATGCTTGAGAATTTCTGGGTCTCAAACCCTGAACTTTTCCCTTGTGAGTCTAATTGTGTTAGCACTGCACCAGCCCCTGGCACCAGAACTTGAATTCTAGTAAACCAAAATCATATTTAAACTAATTTACTTTGCCAAATATTCCATAGTACTAATCCTCATTGCTATTTAAAATTTATGTTTAAATGTTTAAATACCTATACCTATAGAGTCTAAAATTGTAATATTTACTGTATATTTGTAATTCTAAGTGTTACATATACTTGGCCTAGAAAAGTTTTCAAAATAGTTAATAGTGGTTGAAAAGTCACTTATAATTTAACCATCTAGAAGTAATTGCTATTAAAATTTTTGCTCAGGGGACCAGCTGTTGGTGTAATGACTACGTTGTTGGACTCCCATGTAGTCGACTGCAGTTTAAGTCCCAGACCTGGCGTCTTAAACTTATGCTGTACTTGGGTTAGAAAGAAAAAGAAACAGAGAGAGAAGAAAAATGAGAAAACAAGCCGCCAGGTCTGGGACTTGGACCATGGTCGGCCATGTGTGAGTCCAGTGCCCTTTACCACCACTCCACCTGCCAGCCCCTTATCCTAATCTCTTTTTAAAGAAGCAAGCTGCCAGGTCTGGGACTCAAACCACCATTGGCCATGTTGGAATCCAGCACTTTAACCACTATGCCGGCCCTGTTATCCCATTCTTTTTGCATACAGAATACATTTTTCAGAAAAAGAAAAAACATTGGGAGCTTTATAATTTTTTTTTGTTTTACTTTCAAGGGAATTACCCTCAGAATTAAAGGGAATTTTTGATAAAGAGGAGGTGGATGTTAAGGTTGAAGACAAGAAAAATGAAGTATGTATGTCTACAAAGCCTGTGTTTCAGCCCTTCTCAGGACAAGGTAACAGGCTGGGAAGGTGAGTATGCTCATTATCTGTTTCACATAAACACAGGTCTGGCTAGTACTCAGTTCCCCATTATTTTACTCATAGAAACCACATGTCAGAGCTTATCATATCCCCCACTGGAAATGAGGTTTCTTAATGTTTCTGATGGCTCCTAAGTCATATTTATCTTAGCATTTATTAATGTATCCCAGCACTACACAAAAAATTCAAGGGGACTCTGGTTTTATCCAATCTAATGGGCCTGTCTTCTTGACAGAATTTGATGAATAAGTCATTTCCTCTCCCTTGTATCTACCACTTTAGCTTTACCATTAATGCTACAGAGTACCAATGCTGGCTTCTGAGTGTTAGGGTTCTGTTTCACAGGTACCAGTGCCTATGATAATTGTGTTCTATGAGCAGTGTCTGAATTTTGAAGTAATACAAACGGAAATATGCCTGATATAGTTAGTGTGCATATCAAAACCTTTAACTATTTTCAAGGTTAGCCATCTTCATACCTAACTATATCTTAGGAAGAATATTCAGAGGTGTACATATTTTGATTCTCAAGTACAAAAATACATGGATGTGTCTTTCAGAATGATTAGGAAATAATTTGTTTCTTTTTTCTTTCTAACCCAAGTACTAATTCTATAGCCAATTTGTGATTTCTTTTAGAAATTTAATCTGGCAAGTCCATACACCTGTTAACCCTATAAAGTGACCCATTCTGTAAAGCACTAGCCAAGCAGTACCAGTATATTGACATAGCACAAGTAGCAGTTCATTTACATAGCACTCTGCAAGCTTAAAAGGTATTTGAGTATGATTCATTAGATTCTGGGGTTCACACAGCTATCATATATTGCGGAAATAACTAATATACCCTTATATTATTACTGAGGGAACAACTGTGATTTACAGAAATCTTTCTAAAAGCTATATGTAAAATTCTTATAATAATTTTTTTTAATGTTAAAGGTCTGCTCAGTGGAAAAACATTAGTTTCTGATTTTGTGTCTTGATTTCTTTAGTGCCACACCAAAAATTGTTTCAAAAGCAAAGAGTATGGAAGTGGAAAATAAAAATAATTTGTCTGCTGTTCCACTGAATGACTTGGAACCCATCACTAATGTACAGATTTGGTTAGCCAATGGGAAAAGGATTGTCCAGAAATTTAACACGTCCCATAGGTGAGTCATCTATTTCAGTATGTGTCTATTTTTTTTTTTTTTTTTTGAGAGAGAGAGAGAGAGAGGTTTTTGCTGTAGGGTGTGTGCACTTGCCAGAAAGACAGAGAGACAGAAAGTGAGAAATCACCCCCCAGGGGGGGTGGCCATGCCAGAATCCCTTCTTCCCCATTCTCCTCTCAGGATCTTGGGCACGCACGCACATGCACCCAGTGTGAGTTTAAGCCACCAGGTCCAGGACTCAAACCACGGTCGGCTATATGGGAGTCCAGCAATATAGCCATTACGCTAACTGCTGGTCCCAGTATTTGTCTTTTTTTTTAAATAATGTTTTAATTTCATTTTATTCATCATTATTATTTTTTATAATTTGACCATAGAGAGAGGGAAAGTGAGAAAGCAAGCCACCAACTATAGGACTTGACTTGTGATCGTCCATGTAGGAGTTCAACACTTTAACTACCATGTCACATTCCAGCCCTGTCTATTTTTTTAAAAGAGCTAATCAAATATTTTCTTTCTTTCTTTCTTTTTTTTTTAAGAGAGATTTTTGCTATAGGGTGCATATATTAGCCAGAGAAACAGAAAGCAAGAAATTGCCCCACAGGGGATATGGCCACACCACAATCCCTTCTCCTCCATTCTCTTGGAATCTTGGGCATACACACACACACACACACACACACATGCCTGGCATGAGTTTTAAGCTGCCGTGTCTGGAACTTGAGCTGTGGTCAACTATATGGGAATCTAGTGACATAACCATTATGCCATCTGCTGGTCCCTGACTAAATGTTTTTAATAAATAGTTCTCTGAGTATGTCAAAACAGTGAAAATTCTTGGATGGTAATAAAGTATTTTTAGGGGCCCAGTAGGTGGCATGGTGGTTAAGGTGCTAGACTCCCACATGGCTGACGGAGTTGAGTCTTGGACCTGTGACTTGCTTTCTCACTTTCTCTCTCTCTCTCTCTCTCTCACACACACACTCTTCCTCTCTCTCACACGCTGTCCCTCTCTGGTTAAATTAATTAATTAGTTAATTAATTAATTTTAAAAAGTAATTTTACTATGGATTTTCATATTGGTCATTTAATTAGTTTTCCTGGTCGATACATAATTTTTAAAGTAATTGTTTTTAATATATTTAAAATTCATGATTAGCTTAAAATCAGTAACTAATATTATTTTGAGCATATTTTTCTGTTAATTACAATAAATGTTATCATTTTGTTCCAGTCTTTTACCACTTTTAAACTTTGTTTATTTGATTAAAATTAGAAAGAAAAACAAATATAGAAATAACACATATAATGTTGTGCTTTTTTTTTTTTTTCCTTCAAATATAATCCCTAGCCTACAGACCTGGCTCACCATTTAATTTAATATTCTCTTTTAAATAGCAAAAGGCCATTTAGAATAATATTTTATATTTAATTGTCATGTCCCAATTTGAAATAGTTCCTCAGACTTTTCATTTTCATAACCTCAACATTTTTAAAAAGAATTATTTATTTAATTTTATTTTCTATTATTATTTATTTGTTTAATTTGACCAGAGAGAGAAAGGGAAAGTGAGGAAGCAAGCCGCCAGGAACTGCAGTTGGTCATTTGGGAGTCCAGCACCCTAACAGCCACAGCACCTGCCGGCGCCTCATAACCCTGACTTTTTTGAAAATTATGAGCCAGTCTTTTTTACCTGATGCTTCATTATGATTACATTCAGGCCACTAATTATGGCAGGAAACAAAACTGCTTTCTTTGTACCTCTGACTGCATGCTAATAATTGGTATTGTTTACCATTTTCCTACTATGAGGATGTTAAATTTGATTCCTTAATTAAAGCGGTACCTGACTGGCTCCTTTGCTTTAATGTTATTGTGTCTCCTTTTACAATTAAAAAAATGTTTTTTAATTTCTTTTTATTATTTATTTATTTATTTAATTTACATTTAATCATTATACGTCTTTATAGCATGCAACATTGGTTCTCAGAGCATAAATACATTGGATTTCAAGCAAGTCAGAGATAATACTTTACACAATAACTTTCTTTACTTATGTCTGTTACATGTTTTTGTTGTTGTTTTTATTTAATTTTATTATTATTATTTTACATTTTTTCCACATTTTATTGATTCAAAAAATACCTTAAACTAAAACTGTGGACAAAGCTAGAATCTAGTTACAAGTGCACTGTAATTTTCTTCTTGAACATTTTTTTCTTTCTCCATTCCCCCTTTTACCAAAGACATATATATATATATATATATATTTTACCCCTATTTCTCACCCTCTGCCATTTCCAACCCTCCTCCCACACTATCTTAGATGTCTAGAGTTGTTTGTTTGTTTGTTTTTGGAGAGGTTTTTGCTATAGGGCGCATGCACTTGCCAGAAAGACAGAGAGAGACAGAGAGACAGAAAGCAAGAAATCACCCCCCAGGGTGGATGGCCATGCCGCAATCCCTTCTTCTCTGTTCTCCTCTCAGGATCTTGGGCACGCACGCACACATGCCTGGCGTGAGTTTAAGCCACCAGGTCCGGGACTCGAACTGCAGTCGACTACGTGGGAGTCCAGTGACATAGCCATTACGCTAACTGCTGGCCCTACCGTTGTTTTCAATTTCCCCCCACACACACACATTTTATTGATTCACAAAATTTTTTAAGTAATCTAACTACTTTCAATAGCAAGTTACCTGTTATGTACATATCAGTGCATACATGTCTGACTTTAGGTGTGAAACTCTGAATAGAATGAACATACTATAAGGTAACACCTAGCAGATGCTATAAAGCTTACTGTGGTCATTAAAAAGTTATTTTTTAATATATTTTAATTCCAAGAAAAGCACTTTTAGCTTTAATAAATCAAAGAAATACTAAGGAACTTTACTTAAAACTTAAAGCCAGGAAACAGGTTAGGATTCTGTTCAAATAGTAGTACACGAACCTACCAGCAGCTCAAAACAGGACAGAAATCTTTAGAACTGCAAAATAAAGCCTAGAAGAAAATCAGCAATGTTTTAGTCAAAAGTCATAAAATGCTATTTCACCAGTTCAGTGTCATGTACTTAATCTGTCTTCTGTTGTGGTCCAATCTTCCCGATTAAATTCTGAGATATAATATTCAACTCCAGACATGTCTCTGTGATTAAGTTGGCCATTTTCTTAGTTTTTGAATTCTTATTTCTGTGTATCTGTATTTAATCTTCCTGGTGTAGCACTCCCTTGAGAACTTCTTGGAGTTGGTGTTGATAAATTCTTTCAGGTTTTGTTAATCTGAGAATATCCTTGTCTTTTCTTCCCATATGAAGGATAATCTTGTCAGGTACAGTATTCTTGGTTGAAATTGCTTTTCCCTTAACACTTTGAATATATTTTCCCATTCTTTCCTTGCTCACATTGTTTTCGATGAGAGGTCCATTGTTAGCCTGATGGGATATCTTTTGTAGGTAACTTGCTGTTTCTTTCTTGCCAATCTTAGTATCTTGCCTTTGTCTGTGGTTTTGGTCAGTCCGGCTATAATGTGTCTTGGAGAAGATCTTCTTGGGTTGATTCTGTTTGGGGTCCTTTGTATTTCTTGGAACTGGATCTTTGAGTGCCACTCTAGGTTTGGAAAGTTTTCTTGGAGGATTTCATGGAATAGATTATCAATGCCCTTGTGAGTCTCTTCGCCTTCTGGGATACCAATTATCTGGATGTTTGGACATTTGATGGTATCTAGTATTTCTTCTATATTATTATCATTTGGGGGGCCATTTTCTCAGTCTTTATGGTGGATTTTTTTAGGCCAGCAATTCTATCTTCTACATCTGAAATTCGATCTTCTGTATAATCTAATCTACTTTTAATACTTTCAAGGAAGATTTTGATTTCCTGTATTATAGGCTTCATCTTTAACAGGTCCATTTGATTCTTTTTTAGAATATGTATTTCCTCTTTTAGATCTTCCAAGAATTTCCTCACCTCCTGGAACTCATCAGCTCCTTTTTCCTGCCTCTTCTGCAATTCATTGTCTCTCTTCTCTTCCATCTCTATTAGCTTTGTCATTGTGACTATTCTAAAATCCTTATCAGATATTTCTATGAGTTTCATTTTACTGTCTGAAGATGTTCTTCTTTTCCCTTGGAGGAGAGGTATTGTCTTGCTTTCCTATATTTCTTGTGATCCTGCAGTGATTTCTAGTCATCTGATGGATAGTGCATTTCTTCCTAATTCTTATAGTTCAATCTGAGTGTTCAGAGGTGAGCAGAAGGAGGTGATCTGCAATCTTTCTTTGGTTCAATTTTCACTCTTTGTGCATCATATTCAAGGTGAAGAGAGGAATATTCTTACCCTAATTATATTCAGATGATTGAAAACTGTTCACTTGGACCTGCCTAGACACTTAGTAGGTAAAGGATGATCAGAAAATGAATAAAGATAAAGAAAAAAGGAAAAGAATTAAGAAGAGGAAAGAAGAAAAAATAAAATGGAAAAAAAGAGGACAAAAAAACCCATAAGATTATAGTTTTAGAAAGCAAAAATTAAAACCATGCAGCACACGCAAACCTAATATTTCAGAGCTGAAGTACGGTATCTATATCAGGATAGGCCTGGCGTGGTTGGTAACTTTCCTAAATGAAGTGAGGAAAGGCACCAATTAACACAGTAAAGGAGAGGCTTGAGAGTCCAGAGAATACCTTTAAAAAATGTTTTTAAATTAAAAGTCACAGGGAGACACAATTAGACAGAGGCAGACAGACAGAAAAGGAGAGAAAGAGACCACAGAGCTAGCCCTACCCACTAGAAATGAGTCTGGAGGGGAAAGTCTCAGCAGAAAATCTTCATTTTTGGTCAAGGAAACAAATATTTCAGAGCCAAAGTACAGTATCCATATCAGGATAGGCCTAGCTTGGTCGATGGCTTTCCTAAAATCTCCTTTTATAATTAATAGGTATTTTATCGGGGGAAACTTTGAAATTGTTTAATTATATACCTTATGAGACATCAGCTTATTCATTCATTTATTTGTATTTGTATCTGCTCATGGTTTTCTGTTTGATTGAATATGTTATAATCATTTATCATTATTTACTTATTTATTTATTTAAATGTTTGCCATAGGGTGCATGTACTTGTCAAAGAGAGGGGCAGTGATGAGAAGTCAGCCCTGGGAGAACTGCCTCACCACCACGCCTTCATTCTCAGAATTTAGGGCATGCACACATACATACATGCCCAGCAAGTTTTTAAAGCCACCAGGTCGAGGACTCGAACCATGGAGATCCAGCCACCTTACTCATCATGCCATGAGCTGGTCTTAAAAAAATTATTTAGGGGACCAGCAATTAGCATAATGGCTATGTCACTGGACTCCCACGTTGTCGACCACGGTTTGAGTCCTGGACCCGGTGGCTTAAACTCACTCCAGGCACATGTGCGTGCGTGCCCAAGATCCCGAGAGGAGAATGGAGGAGAAGGGATTGCGGCGTGGCCATCCCCTCTGGGGGATGATTTCTCGCTTTCTCTGTCTCTGTCTCTGTCTCTCTCTATCTCTTGTCTCTCTCTCTCTCGCTCTCTGTCTGGCGAGCGCATGCGCCCTATAGCAAAAACCTCTCCTAAAAAAGAAAAAAAAAATTATTTAGTAATACACAAAATAATGATAGATCTTAAAATCAGTGGTATCTTAGCTTCAATCAACTACATGTGCACTTTCCCTCTCTTACACAAGAACGCGCACACACACACACACACACACACACACAGGTGAGAATGTAGCTTTGAGCTACATTTACAATTGCAATGATTATATGATAATGGAGTGAATACTATATTCACTATACTAACTGAAATTCCAGCTATACCAGGTTAAAATTTTTCCTGATTAGATTCAGAGCACAGCATGACCTGATTTTTAAGAGATACAACCTTGTTTCTCTGTAGCATCATTGGTTGGACCATTTTTGTTGCATTCCAAACAAGTTATATACATAGTAAAACTTTCTTTTATAGAAAATTTCAGATATACACAGAAGTAAAGATGATATAATGATCCATTATTTATGTCTTTCCAAACTATCTTTAAGTAAATTCCAGACTTCATGTAATTTGATATATGAACATTTCAGTATCTCTGAAAGATGAAGACTCTTTAAAAATGGAGCCATAATGGACCAGCAGATGGTGTAATGTTTTTGTCACTGGATTCCCATGTAGTTGATCGTGGTTCAAGTCCCAGACCCAGTGGCTTAAACTCACGCAGGGCACATGTGTATGTGTGTCCAAGATCCCAAGAGGAGAATGGAGAAGGGATTGTGATGTCGCCATTCCCCAGGGAGTGATTTCTCGCTTTCTGTCTCTCTGTCTCTCTCTGTCTGTCTGGCGAGTGCACACGTCTATAGCAAAAACCTCTCAAAAAAAAAAAAAAAAAAAAAAACTATAGCTCCTTTTTTTTTTTTTTTTTTTTGGGGGGTTTTTTTTATA